CTCCATGACGCCCGTAGCAACAAGGCACTGGTACTCCTTCTCCTCGTTGTACTCGACGTCGCCAGCAGCGTTGGTCTCACCGGCGTCTCCGTTTTCGGCCACGCCAACCAGTTTGACAAATGTCGTCGACTAGTAAGAACAAAATGCATAAGTAGCTTGGCTTCGACAGCAGGGGTATCTATTGGGAAATGCAATTAAAGCAACTATGTGAGCAGCACACGCTCAATAGAGTCTTACAAGCTCTTGAAGCATATGCACGGCGACAGGTTGGATTTCCGTCGAGTAATGGATCATTATTTCCCGAAGGACCGAGTTGAGATCATCGAATTCAGTCTCACGCAGGAGCTTGATAAGTTCTAAATTGAGAAAAAAGGACTGGTCAACGGGTTGCCAGTGGGGAAGGGGATATATTTGGGAAAATGTTGTTTGGCTTTTGTTGAAACGTAAACGGTAAACGTAAACAAAGGAGATCCATGATACATACCATTATACTTCAAGTAAAATTTTGGAATGCAATGCACCCTAATTCAACTCCATCGACGTTCTGTTAAATGCGAAGCTTGCACTTTTTCACGCCCAGTAACTAAAGGCGGTCTTGCTAAAGAAATCACTGCCTGCGAAGTCATCCACATCATGACCGATTACGCCAGTGCCGTCCAGGGCGGTGGTGACAACATACTTACGACAGGCGAAGATAAACAGAAAAGAGGGATGCGCGCTACACTCACAGTGACGACATGGAAACAACCGACGTCATCTATCGCAGTCTTACGCCATCTGGCTTTTTGTAATAGTTCAAAAAGACTGCCGAGGACAGTAGGCATAGCAAGCCAAACGTTTTATTTCCTTAGCTGCACCGTAACAGTTCTGAAAGCGGCATATTGGCGAACGTAGCAAAACAGAAATAGCTGAGCGTTGGAGGAGATAATTAAACGCGGCATGCAATTTTAAAGGATTTATGGAAGTAAATAGTTTTTGAACAAAGAAAAAACTCACGCAGTACGAGGTCTGGAAGATGCGACAGCATGACCTTCCGAGCTGAAAAGCAGAAAAGAAAGTGGGTCCTATTAACAGATGGTCTCATTATTTACAAGTAAACGTTCATTTTTAGCTACGGCTGAGTTTGCTATGCAAATATTTATTTTTACACCAATTGGCAGGCATCGGCAAGGAAATATGGACAGGACAACTTTGACTAGACTGCAATGAAAGAGAAACGCGTGCAAGTTAGACCATCTCCAAAAAATGGCAGACTTTGACGATAGTCCCTGGATTCCCGAATACAAGCAGGCAGTGAAAATTCTTAGTTACCAACCATGCGTTCCGTAAATTATGGTTGAACTGTTGCCTCTGGAAACAGTAAGGGAGCGCGGTAGACACTGCGGACTTTCCTAATACGATTATATTCAAGTGCAGAAACCCCTGCGTCCGACACTGAGGACTTCATTGCTGGCGATGGGTAAACTACCATGGAGGAAAAATTATGTTCTGTCTTCCTCCTTTTCACGACTGGAAAGGGTTTACACATCGGCGACACGACAGATCGACTGCCGTTGCTGATTATGTTCACAGTATGGTATCGGAGAAAGTCGACAGGCTGTGTGGCTTTCTCTCCGTCCTCACGTTTTGCGCTCGGAATTCACACGGCACAATGCTTCGTTCACCATCCGTCAAATAGTGACGTCGGACGTCGCATGCCGTAGGCAGGTTAATGTGACAACCATATCTGCTGTAACTGCCTCCGTGTGATCCCTTTTTTTAGCTTACTATCTTGGGCATTTCGATTTTAAACAGGAACCTACTCGGGCGTCAAGGGTCACTGCCTGCTATTTATAATGTACTCTGTGCAGACAGTTAATGTTCGATGAAGAAAACTCGCCGACGGGTTCACGTCAAGAGAGAATGACTAGGGGTGAAAACATTCCTCCAAAGTTAATCTGCATATGTAAGATGAGACATTTCGATATCATTATATAGTACTCAACCTTGTTCTGATCAAGAGGCCACAGCGGATATCAACAGCAGGTCGAAAATACCGTCTTATATGCTGGATAGCAGTCTCCAGAATAATCCCGAATACTGACAGTCTCATAGGCGTTTCCCTATCTGTTCATAAATTTGGG